ACCTCATTCTTTCTCCGCCTGAATTTCCCCTGGCAGTCCTGGATCCGCAGCCTGTATTTCCAAGCGGGGCAGCCGTGGAAAGCCTGATTACCACCGGCCCGTCCGGGGAGCGCTCCAGCGGCCGTTCTCGCCACTCGGCTGTATCCATTCCTCTGAACTCCTCTCTCCACTCGCTTCAGCAATACAACGGCTCTGGTCGCTCTTCATCCCAGCGAAACTACGACCTCCGAACCACTATTAGAGGTCGACCCACCTCCAGCAAAAGTTCAAAGTGGAGCTCCACGCCGGATCACTCTGAGACACGTCTCCAGCTCCACGGAGCACCCCGGAAATCAAAACCATCTCAGTGTCCAACTCCGAGGAAACGCCGCTGTTCCCACGCCCGGGTGAGGTCTCCCGAAGATTCTTTACCGTCGAAGGTCTCGGACTGGACCATTGCCTGTCTTCAACGAGTTTTGAAAGAGAGAGGCATTCGCTTTCGCCGGTCCGACAATAAGGCTACATTATTCCAATACTTCTTTACGTTCCAGAGCCACCACCCTCATTCACTGAAAAGCGTTAATTCTCCTCCGGGAATAAATGCCTCCATTAATGCAGCCTCCTCGCTCCTTACAGCCTCACCCAGTCAGCGTCAACCACACCTCCACATCGCTCCGCATGCTCCTTACTCAGCGGCTCCTCCCACTAGGCGCTTCACTCGACGAGAGTTTCCAGTTCTGCGCTCTCCATTCCCTCCTTCGCAACTCGCTTCAGTAAACCCTCAGCTAAACTCCGCAGCCAACCTCAGCACTGGGTTGACAGGTTTTCAGTCACTCCTAACACCGCCCGGTTTTTCGCTGGCCTCGGTTATCTCCCCCCCCCTCCAAAATCACCGGCCCCAAATCCTTCTCCTGTGTCCGCTAACCTCATTCTTCCTCCTTTCACGCAGCCTGCTCTCCCCAGGGTGGTCGATAGCCAAGAGGGCTCCATCATCATTCTCGGCAAGGCCCCTTCTCAAGCTCACTCCACTCGAGTTCGCGTTTGTTTTCTCGTTATACACAGATGTTCTCTGCACTGCTTTTCCCTCCTGAAGACAAGAGTTCGACTTCTACCTCTCCATCGTACTCGATCTCTCACTAAGATTCGGCAACACCGGCTTCTATCATTACCAAATCCAGTCTGCTTCTCAGGCAGCTGCTCGCCTTTGGCAGTTTAACCAAGACACTTTCTGGGGCAGTCTCGATCAGGAACTCTACCGTCGCATCTCTGCCGCTCGTTCTTCTCTCTCCTGCAAGTCGTGCTGTGCCCCATCACATCCTGCTTCCGCCTGCATCGTCCCAGCCCAAAACCAGGCAGTCAGCACTCATGCCATTCTTCCATTCTTACCTGTTTGACCCCGGCTCCAGTACCAGGAATCCCTGAACCCTCGACTTCGACTCCCTCCATGCCCTTGCTACAAGGTTCAGACAAGTGGGGCAAGCCCGTCATGCACCTGCCGCTCCATCCGCAATAACTTTAACGACTTCAGCTGTTCCATGTCTCAGTGCCGCTATCTCCCCTCTTGCTCCTTTTGCGGCGGCAGCCGTTCCCAACCCATATGCCCCCACAAGCCCACCGAACCATAATAAAAAAAATATTAAAAAGTCCTCGGCACAACCCTCGGCACCGATTGTTTCCAGGCCTCCCTTCCTATCAAATAGCTCTATCGCATCACTCTCCTCCCCTGAACTTCTCCTCGCCCCACGTGCTCCAAACGTCAGCTGCTCTCCCCTTTGGATCGTTCGTACCGTGCACTTCACATAATCCTGCAAGGCCGCGCATATCTCCCACCCACTTCGCTCGCAGCGTCTCCACCGTCACTCCTCGACCCTTTCACGCTCGATAGCGCTCCAGAGCCAATCCGTGTCCCCTGCTCACTAACTAGAACAGCATCTCTTCCCCTATGACAATCAGCCGTTGCAGCCCAATGACATTCAGCCCTACACAAGCGCTGCCCCTTCTGCCGGCTTTGGGGGTTATTATGACGGAAGGCGGTTCCATTACATCCACGAGCGGTTCCTGCCTTCTTCAGCTGTTTCCAAAACCATCCGGCCATTATCGTGGCCTTCCGTGGGGGCTCGGAGCTTTGGGGGTTATTATGACGGAAGGCGGTTCCATTACATCCACGAGCGGTTCCTGCCTTCTTCAGCTGTTTCCAAAACCATCCGGCCATTATCGTGGCCTTCCGTGGGGGCTCGAATGGTCAAGAAGATCTGTTCTGTATCACTCCGACAATCTCCCAGCAGCAACACAACCAACAAGACCATAGCAACTCTTCTTCCATCATGCCTCCATGCGGCTGCCCACACATCCAAATTCTCGGCCCCACGCAGAGGCTGCTTCTACTCCAGTTCCTCCTTTTTTAGCCATTCAAAATCTAAACCCTAGCATCGTGGAACCCAGCAGCGTCTCTGAGTAGCAATATTAAATAGTCTCGCTGCCAGTGCATCTTCCACCTACGGGACTGCTCGTAACGCGCCCGTTTGTTCCACAGTAACTTCAATCTTCCCTTCCCATTATTCGACACCATAACCATTCCAGCTTAATATCTACGCCTTCCGGATTCTGTGAATCAAAATTCCCATGATAAAGACATATCTCAGCAGCATCAACTTCTCCGCCAAACTGCTCTCCAAATTCGGCCACCCTGTAACTAGACCATGGTTTCTTTCACGCATTCATCAAGTGCTCTCATCATCCGGGATCCCTCCCAATCTCTTCTTTAGTCATTCACTCCGTTTCGGCGCCACGACTCCTGCCTTTCGCTAGGAATCCTCGACCACATAACCAGCTCCTCAGCCGTTGGTCATCACAAGCCTACCGTTATACATTTGTAACAATCTCTAAAGACCTTCAAAAACGCCCAGTCTCCACTCCAGCAGGGGATGCCTTCTTTGGGGGTTCTACCCAGCCGGGAGCCATCACCAGTCCCCTTAGAGACCTTCCCCAAACCGCAGCACCAGTTCATACTCCCTCACGCAGAGGCTCCCTCATCTCTCCGCTCATCGTTTAGAGGATGTGGTCCCCGCTAGTGAAACAACAGAAAATTTATTGTTTTAAATATAATTGAATAAGTTAAATTAACTAAACATGACTAAGACCAACAAATTATTAGTATTGGTCTCACTGTGACAAAAATGTCATACAGCATTTTTTGTTAAGAAATGCATTTCACAGCAACATTTGACAAACTTCTTCTACATCACATTTTGTTTGAAATGTTGCCAGACTAGATTATATAAGGGATAAGATATATTATTTAAGGATTAGAGTTATTTAATGGGTCAATAATTACCTTTAGTAAGAAAAATCTAGGTTTCTAAAATTAGTTTAGTCACTGCCATTTTGGAAATTATGTCACAGGTACCTAGAGCCATTCACTTGTCACATGACTGCATCAGGCTGTTCAGTAGATGGCACTTGGGAACTTCATGGGTTAAAAGTCAATGTTGAAACTTTAACAGGAACGTTCTTCAGTGTTTAAACGTGACAGCTGCCTCAAACTGGGATATAATGGGTTAAATACACAATTTATATCTTTTATTAATACAATACATTTTATGTTGGACATATTATATTTATATTATATTACCAAAGTGTGATAGAGACTAGTATAATGAAGTATATTAGCTAACTTGTTTGCTAGCTAATCTTAAAATTCCTGCTGGGTAAGCTGATGTAGACTTACAACCTTGTTTTTACAGCCCCATGATTTCTCAGACTCAGATATACATCACATACCAATGAAAATATTGGTATGTTATGCCAATCACATACCAATATTTTTAGTAAAAAGTAAAGTAAAAAGTAAAAAGTAAAAAAACAAACACACACACACGAGAATGTTTGCCTTCATTTCTGTCAAACAATGCAGTTTACAACATTGCTAGTAATAATAATAATGGATTGGATTTATATAGCGCTTTTCAAGGCACCCAAAGCGCTTTACAATTTCACTATTCATTCACACACTGGTGGAGGCAAGCTACGGTTGTAGCCACAGATGCCCTGGGGCAGACTGACAAAAGCGAGGCTGCCATATCGCGCAATCGGCCCCTCTGGCCAACACCAGTAGGCAGTAGGGTAAAGTGTCTTGCCCAAGGACACAACGACCAGGACAGAGAGCCCGGGGATCGAACCAGTGACCTTCCGGTTACAGATACGCTTCCCAACCCCCTTAGCCACGGTCGCCCGTAAAGTGGCATCATAGGTATGGAACGCCAGGACTGCCATAATGAATTAATTAAATACACCATTAAATAATTAATTAAATGTGGCAA